AACATAGCATTTCATTTTCCATTAAATAATAAGACACCAATGCTGTTCCAGACGGATTTCGTTCACATTGTTGTTTTATGTTCGGATCACTGTGCCCAAAAGGCTTTTTTGGAAACTAAAACCCAGCCTAGCACCTGTTGCACAATTATTTTTTAAAAATGAGCAATTCTGCTACTGATGAATAAAGTCTTCAGTGCAAATTATAGTCCTTACCAAAGACTTCAGTTACAGAGTTCAAATTAGTATCCATTAAAGATTCATATCAATAACCAATATAAACTACCAACTTAATATCAGTCACTTTACGAACACCTCGGTAGTTATAGGACATGGCTCTCTGAGAGAATTGTTTGTTTTCTGCTATGTGTGATATCTGTTCTGATACATATATAAACTTGTGTTATTCATAGTAATATGCAAGGTAAACAATGCCTTTATACATAATCAAAATGTTTATACTTAGCTGTCTGTTCAATTCTGAATATGTAAGCTTGACATATATTCCATTGAAAATATATTTGATCAATAAGTTTTCAGAAAAAAATTAGAATAGCTGACAAAATATATAAATAAACCAAAATGTTCTAGCTTAACTTAGAAAACCCCAGCTAAATATATATTTAAGTTTAAAAGCAGTACATTAATTACCCAACACTCACATCTGATATTAAAATTGCAGAAAGGACACGCATTTTTACAGAAAAATAACTAATCTAGCTAATGGTTCAGCAAATTTCTACAGCGATGTCATCTCTGTGGTAGGTCATTGTGGAGGTAGTGGTCCATTTTCTTAAACTTCAATCATCACTGTCGCTTCCAGATTCACTCAATTGTAAGTCATTTCCTAAAAATAAAAGTTCATGTTATGGGCAAAAAGCAACATTTATGTAGCTATTCACATTATTTTTACTCTACAGCCAATCCTCCTCTATAGGGAAATATTAAATTCCGGCTGGGCAATGTGCCCATGAAGTGCAGTTAGAAACTGAATCTACTTTAATAAACAAGCTTCATTAGGAATCTACCAGCCATCTACCCAATTGAAAAAAATGATTTGGTCCTACAAAGACCTGAAGCCCAGAGCTCAGCTGTCACATTGCTGGGAAAGGCCCCTGGAGAGATTTTCCAAAGAGAAGTGGAGTCTATGGCGGTAGAAGCTCGAATCGTCCATGTGGAATTCACCAGACTACTCCAATAATAAGCTATCCCATAATTAAAAGGAAAAAAAAAACTTAACCAATGGAATATTTCATTTCCTTTATATTTTATGGACAATACTATCCAAGAATGAGAAGGAAACTTGTGAACCAATCCATGCTTTAAGCATTCTATTGAATGTTACAAGAAAGGCCTTTCAACAAGTTGTATGCAGCCACTTAGCAGTCTACGAGTTTCAGGAGGTCTATCAAAAATAAAATTCTAGTTATAATGCCCTCTGTTCACCACTGCTTATTGCAGACTGCGAGCAATGTCCTTTGCAAACTATTTTTAGTGAAAAAGGATGAAACAGTGGGAAAACAATTCAGCCTAACCAATAAGGATAAGGAATCCAGAGCTTATCATGAGTATCATAATCTGCTACAAGAGCACTCAAGTGCCAGTTTGCACAGTCTGAGCCCAGGTTGTCCTCAACAATGCTACATGACCATAACCTAGAAACAGCATTCATGCACCTTTCACTCTTATGGAGATGGATGAGGTGGTGTTAGAGCCCCCCTACATTAAATGTGACAATGCAGAAATTGAAATGTGGAGTAAAATGCCAAACCAAACTACATATTGACTGCAGTTGAGATGCAAACGCACAGGAACCATTCTAGAATTTGTAGCATGCAAAAAGAGGGAATCAAACCAGCTGCTGGAAATTATTAATACTGAGGGTCGGGTTGGACAAATAGACCAGAGGAAGACTAATCTTAACATTTGTACTCCATGCATGTTGTTTTCACTGTTATTATTAAAACTGAATTTTATTGCATCAGCTACTGAAAATCAAAATAACTCTAAGTAACTGCAGTAGAAACTGCATTTATTGGCCTGGGACTAAGCTGGCTGGCATCTTATACTATATTTGGGCCTCTTCCAAGATCTACTGGTTGCAAAATTTCTAGCGATTTAAGAATTAATAAAACCCCATTTACATTACTTCTTAAAAATATAAAGCAAGTTCTGCATAGATTTCAAAACATTGGAGTCTTAATTTATAATTTTATGAAGGAAGGTGGGGAAAATGCAGCAACATGCAACATCAGCAATTTCCTAATCAGCGTACCAGAATTAAAGGGAGTTAATGGGAGTCTATTTTTTAACTACACAGGAGGGGAACTCATGAGAACATTTGGTACAAGACATGAGAATTTGATACAAGTTTATTTCATTCTCAAATAGAAAACAAACTTTTGCCTTCTATACGGACATGAAATATCTACAGCCTTTTGGGACATCCTCAAAAACTATGTAATCATAGCGGACAGAGTGTAATATTTTGTGCATAAACTAGCAGGTTTGGGCATCTTTGCCAGAAAAAAAACATGCTCATGTTATCAGCAGCTGCTTTTCTTTAGCTTATTATTGAATGATTCAGTGCAATGCATCTAATTACAACCATCTAGCACAGAGAAGAAACATAAATTTGTACCTTGTACAACAGAAAATTAAGAATTCAGTTAAGCATTGTCTACTTACTCAGGGTGCTCATAAGTTGATTGCTTCCTGGTCTGCTGGTGCCATTTGTAGCAGCATTTCTGTTACTGTACTGCTGGTATGGCTGTTGTGGTTGCTGTTGGGGCTGGGTTTGGGATTGGGAGGGAGGTTGCTGTTGAGGTTGCATCTGCGGTGGTGTCGAGGAGGGGTGAGCTTCATTTTCCACATCACTGCTGGAACTGTCGTCACTGCCAGAGGAACTTCCTGAATCTGAAGAACTACTGCTGCTGCTCATCTGTTCAATAATATCAACTTCTGCTCTCAATTCTAGAAGGATAGGGGAGAAATTTATTAACATAGAACATAAGCTCTAAATTCACTGGCCTTCTTTGAAGAAATGTAGCTAATCCTTTCTTAACGTTTATTTCTGCAAACATTTTTTCTCAGTAGAAAATGATGGAATGCAGTAAAAGAAAATAAAGGCAACAATCTGAAACTATATTAATGATCAAGTTCTTTTGAAAATCTGTCCTTTTTCCCTTTCAATGCCTCACACCAAAGAGCACCTTACTGCTAAAATCCATGAACCGTAACTTTATCAACATTATCTAATTCTGATCGCTTGTAGAGTAAATAGAACAAGACTATACATTTTCATGAAGAAAAAATGCTCTGTGGTTGTTAGAGCTATCAGTGGGAGGAAAAACAAAAACTCCATTTGTAAAAATAAATTGAAACTCAAACATACACACAGCTATTTCTTTACCTTCTTTTTGAGAATAAAGGGATTCGATATTTCTATTACTACAAAAACACGTGCAGATCAATAGGTAAACTGAACCCAAGACTTCATTTGTAGATGACAAAGCATAATGGTGGAAGCATAATGATGACAAGCGCAAATTAAGTAAGAGAAATAACGCAAGTTTAGAAAAGCTCCATTATCGCACAAAGAAATGGTCGGACTTGAAGTTCAACGTCCCATGAATATAGTATTAACTTAAACGTTACATTCTAGTGCAAACAAGGTACTATCATGTTGATATAAAGGTAGTAGAAATATGGATCATTTCCCCCCCCAAAAAAAAGTCTAGAGGTTAGGTCATTCAAAAAATTTAACACTTCTTTTTATTCTAAAGCTTTTATTTATTGAAAATATTAAGTGATGTAGAAGCAAGTTTGGTAAATGGAGTTCAGATGCAGATCATCCACAATGTTTTGATACATGCAATATTGTGTATATACACTGCAGAAACAGTGTGAGGAACAGTGAAAGAAGAAAAAGTAAGTTGGCTAGTATTTGCTTTTCAATCTAGAGAGATCTAAATGGTATACTGCTAGGTGGTGATTGAGTCAGAGTTTACAGATCAGAAAGATGCTTCTCATGCTGTACTTGCTCCTTTCAATGGGCAATCCAGAAATCACTATCTGTCCAATGCTCCCTCTCAAGAACCACGTTTCTCACTCAGTTTTAAATGGCTACTGCGATCTCTTGAGAAAAAGTCTCTGCCTCAGCTACTTTCTACAGTAAAACAGGGCAAACTCTCAGAACTCTTGCTTCATTCAGTGATCATTTTAAATTAATTACCCCTCATTAGAGGATATTGTCAAACTTCTTCATAAAGTAAAAAACCTACTAAAATCTATATTTCTTCACCTCTGTTCTAAAAGCAGCTGTCCAGGTATTTCCCCATTACTTTGACTTCTCGTTCTTGGTTTCATCCTGGTAGAGGCACCAATACCTTAATATATTAGGGACCAAAATGTACATGGTGTCGAACTATAGCTCAACCAAAGACCTGTAACCATTTATCCTTAACGCTATGTCCCAATTTATAAAACTCAAAAAGTACTATTAATCTGTTCAATTACCATTTTCTTATATTTGTACATCAAAGAAATTATTGAAAGATATTGTTAGATATATTTTTTAAAACTAAACACATCTTGTGTATCAGCCAAATGCCAGCCTAACTTAACCTAACCAAGAGCTCTTTAAGTTTTTGACAACTACCTCCCTTCCCACTAAAATCTTTACTTGTATTGATCTAAGGGACACATTACTTTGAAGGCTTCTGGTATCAAATGCACTCCTACTAACCCTCACTTTCTGTTTATTCTTAGTCAATTGATTTTCTGTCAATGCTGGTTAACTCCTTCTATGGCCAATTTTGAAATTTTGCAAAAAGTCACTTACAAATTACCTTATCAATTGCCACTTGAAACTTCTTCAGTATAGTCATTACATCCCACCTATCCAAGATGGTCACTTCTTTAAATTTTTTAAATACATACATATGAAGGACTTAAACTGTGGTCTCTGTCAAAATCTACAGATGACCCAGAAATAGGAAAATAAGCTTATCAAATTTAGAACCAGAGTAGGCCATTTGGCCCTTCAAGCCTGCTCCACCATTCATCAAGATCATGGCTGATCTGCCCCAAGCCTCAATTCCTCTTTTGTGCCAGCTTATCATAGTCCTCCACTCGCCAACATTTCAAAAATCTAACTACCTCCTCTTTAAATACTTTTATTGATAGAGCCTCCACAACGGTCTGGAATTTCAAAACATTCACTACCTTCTGGGAGAAGAAATTCAATCACATCTCAGTTTTCAACAAGTGCAACCTTATTCGGTAACTGTGTCCCCCAGTTCAAAATTCCCCCACTACAAGAAACATCTTCTCAACATCTACTCTTTCACAGTGTCCCTCTAAACTAAGTTTATGCTCACACAGTCAGCATACCAACATTCTGACTTTTAGTTCCAGATGCCACAGCCACACAATGACCTGCAAGGTTCACACAGCAGGAAAAAAAAAACAGGGGATACTGCTTGTTAAGCCCACTCAGAATGGTGGGCATTTTGAACCAGGTGGGTTTTCTTTTGTAAATGACAAACAAAAATGGTCATCATTAGATTTTTAATTCCAGATTTTGTACTGTATTCAAATTCCAACATCTGCCATGGTGTGATTTAAATATCCAGGTCCTCAGACCATTAGTTGGGTCTCTGGATGACTAGTGCAGAAACTATACCGCCATACCATCTCCTCCTTGTCTTTTGTCAATTTTGAAAATACTGTAAACAACTGCAGGAAGTCAAACAAATAAATAGGCAAAGCATACAGATAAACTGTAGAGCAATATATGGTTTTGGAGAAGGAGGAGGACAGAAAATATAGACTAAATAGTAAGAGGTTGCTGGGGTTTGATTCATCAAGTGGCTTTTCCTGCTTTTAAAAGTTTCCTGTTTCCAGTTACACAGATTTTTCGTTGGTATACCTCTTTTTATGTCATCAAGTTGTGGTTCAGGTGACGGGTTGTCCTTTGTTGGAGATGTCTTTGGTCCAGGACATGGCTTATTTGGTGCTCTAAACTGAGAGGAAGGTTGAGATCTTCGCACTGCCTGTGATTCCAGTTGAGCCTGGATTTTACTGCTCCCTTCAGCTCTGAAACAATTATTGGCAATTGAACATCGAGGGAGGGTCAGTGATGAATCATTTCATAGGAATAAGAAACTATATAACATTACCAACACAAAAATTTCTTTAAAATTACACAGTAAAAGTCAAGAAAAAGAAAATCTCGATGAAGAAACATGTCCTCACTTCTTATATATTATGCTTCCATCTTCTGAAGATACTAACAGTGGGGACATAGTTTCATAGTAGCCATTTTTATCTCTGAGTCTATGCACTTGAGTGCCAGGGGACCAAGTAGTTCTGAAAGTCTCAACACAAAGACTGCTTGTTTCCTCACCCAATGTTCATAATCATATTTTCCAAGAATAACTCAAGGGTGGTGTTCAGCAATAAAACAAGTACATCATTGTGAAAACCCTGCCTCCCACGACCAGTCACGAGAAAGCTTTTCTGGCATCATTTCTGTAAAATTTCCCAGGATAAAACCATATTTTAAAAGGTTAGAATAAAAACACTGGTAGTATACAGGGCAGAAATTTTAACCAGAGAAGATTTCAGGATTTGAAGAATATTGAAGGGTATAACATTGTCAAGACTCAAAACGCTACAAATCATTTGAAGCTCTTAAGAATTACACATTTACAACTCAAGCCACTGCAGGTGTATATATGTAGAAATCTTGAAAATTAATTATTTCAAAAGACACTAAATTTATAATTTTGAGGAGGTGATCACTAGCCAATTACTTCAACAAGTACTTAAGAACAAAAGGTTAACGTTAGGAGAATATAAAAAATTTTAAGAGTTTGGGGATTGAGTAGAGGAACAAGAATAATTTTTGAGAGTTGGCAGAGGTACAAATTGTTCAATGGGCTATTTCTAGTCAATAAAATTCAATGATTAAATATTTAATACACTGTTGATACATTTAGACTATAACATTTTATACAAAGTAAATAAGAAAAAAAAATTAACAAGCCATTGCATAGTATTGTCTGAAATGCTATGCAAAAGTTACAAAAATATATTTTAAAAGCATTTGAATAATTATGTATCTTTACCTGGTTTTCTTCACCTGTATACTGCTACTGAGCTTTTCAAGCACAAACTCCCCAGTATCATGGTTAATAATAAGTACACAGTCCTTCTGATATGGTCTTTTATTACCTTTGAAGACAGTCATTGGTGGAGTAGACCCCTGGTGACCAAGAAACCTGATATTATTGCTTTGCCTTGTTTCGATTTGTGTCAGAGTTCAAACTGACAAAACAATACCGCTGTAGTCATCAACTATTCGACCATATTTTAGCAAAGCTCCTGTGTAATTATTCACACAATAAATACATCATACAAGGAAAGGTAAAGGCAAATTCAAATACAAACATTAAAAGTTGATTTCAGCACGTGTATTCCTGAAATTATCAACTTTTTTCCGTATTGAATTATCCAATAATCTAAATCAAGTAATGCCAGTAACAAAGTTAGAACTTAATGCAAAAAATGACAATTTTTTGTTCCCTAATTGAAATGAAGAGTATACTGCACTGATTCTCAAAATTACTACTATCTCTTCAGTACTTAAATATAGTGGAATGAAATATTTGCAGATTGGGGTGGCTGACAAGTCTTACTAAAGTAAAGTAACAATATGAATTAAGCACTTACTTCAAATCAAATAGATTTGCCCAAAACGACATTATTATTAAGGTTTACGGTAAATAACAAAATACATGGGACATACTGGAATTATTTTTTTCACAAAATTTCACTCATCATACAGTAATATAACTTGTCAATGTTCAAGAATCACTTTCACTAAACATTCAGGATGCTGATTCAAGATGTGATGAGACCACAGATCCCCATTTGTTAAATTCTCGATTTCAATTTCAATTCTCAATTTGTCAGTTGCTAAGTGGAGGCTATGCATTTCCCACATCAAGTGATAGATCTGTTAGTTTCCAAATGAACATTCACGCCATAGTTTTAGTAGTCGTCTAATTTGCTCCTTGAAACTGTTATTACCAAACTGTTTGATAACATCCCATCTTTAACAGCTACCAAGAATTACGCTAAATCCAAACTTTAGTTGCATAACACAGTCAAGAAATTAAATGCTTAGAAAAAATCTCCTTAGATGACCCGAGGCCATAGAAATAGAGAATTGGAGCAAGAATAGGCCATTCAGCTCTATATGTTTACTTCTCTATTCAATATGATCATGGCTGATCATCCAGCTCAGTGCCATATTCCCACTTTCTCCCCATTTCCTTTGATTTCTTTAGCCCAAAGAATTATGTCTAACTCCTTATTGAAAACATATGATGTTTTGGCCTTGACCACTTTCAGTGGCAGAGAATTCCAAAGGTTCACCACCCTGAACAAATTTCTCCTCATCTAAGCAGTAAATGACTAAGTAGTATTAGACTCCCCTGTCATTAGGAACTTCCTGCATTTACCTGGTCTAGTCCTGTTAAAATTTAATGGATTTCTAGAAGAATTCCTCCCTCTCTGGCCTTCTAAAGTTTAGTGGATAGAGTCCTAACCGATCCATTCTCCATTCATATGTCAGATCTGCCAACCCAGGAATCAATCTGATCAACTTTCATTGTACTCCGTCCATAGCCAGAACATCCTTTCACAAATAAAGAGACCAATACTGCACACAATACCCAGGTGTGGTTCCTCCAAGGGCCTGTACGATTTCAGTAAGACATCCCTGCTACTGTATTGAAATCACAGAATCCCTACAGTGTGGAAACAGGCCATTCGGCCCAACAAGTCCACACTGCCCTACAGAAGAACATCCCACCCAGACCCACCCCCTATCCTTTCCTGGTAACCCTACATTTCCCATGTCTAATCCACCTAATTTACACACCCCTGGACATGACGGGCAATTTAGCACGGCCAATCCACCTAACCTACACATTTTTGGTGTGGGAGGGAACCGGAGCACCCGGAGGAAACCTACGCAGACACGGGGAGAATATGCAAACTCCACGCAGACAGTCACTTGAGTGTGGAATGGAACCCGGGTTCCTGGCGCTGTGAGGCAGCAGTGCTAACCACTGAGCCACCGTGCCACCCCTAAGTGCTATCAAATTTCTTCTTCAAATGTCAGAAACTTTGCAATTCAAAAATCACACAAATGAAGGCATCCTATGTGGCTTAAGTTGAAACTTCCCCTATTTTTATTGGTTGTGGTGTTGTACTTCCTGGCTGCTAAACAGTTTAAATTTTGAATTATTAAAGACCGAGCTAAGCTTCAAACAATTAATCCTGTGTCAAAATAATTTCAGCTCCAATTAGTATTAGCTTCTGCTATACCTCACCAACACTCCTGAGAGGCCTATCAATATTTTTGCAAGATGTTTCTCCAGAAACACCTTCATTATATACCAAGTTCCACTCACCACAATTTCAACTTTTTCAGGCTCCAGTACTCACAAACTGTCCTGCTCTTAACTTTGCTTGCTCATTGCCCCATTTTTGCCAGTTTCCATTGACTCCCTGCTGCTTAAAGTCTGATCCTTCCTTATAAATACTTCCATGGCTTTGCTCCACACGAGTTCTGTAACTAGCAATCCCATTGTATTTGCATTTATACTGATTTTTTAAAATTTAGAAAAACAAACATTCTAAGCTGTTTCACAGGCGATATTAGAAGTGGTGACAAAGAGATCTATTACTTTGACCAAATTTTGAAGAAGATTTTTAAAGGAGAGAAATGGAGCAAGGTAGGGAGGCACTAACCCTTATGTACAGTGACGTACTTGGTTCACCTTTCTCAATTTCTCTTTTGCGTGGCATCCAGCCTCAACTTGAGAAACAACTCAAGATATTGTAAGACAACTTTCTCCCAAATAACCTGTCCAAAAATGACCTTCTGGAGGAAACCTTATTACAATTTCAATGAGTGTAGGGATTCTACTGAAATAACAAGCCAAAGTAAGGATCTAGTACACTTGCACATTATTTTTTTTCCCTGCAATTTGAAAAAGAATCAAAAACCAAGAGAGGATGTTTGACATATTAATATTCAAAAAAGATCAAATTAAAATGTGTTCTGAAGAAGGGACACTAGATCTGAAATGTTGACTCTGCTTTCTCTCCAGATGCTGCTAGACCTGCTAAGTTTCTCCAGCAATTTTTGTTTTTATTCAATATAAATGTTGCCTTGGACACCTTACTTGACAGTATTCTTGTTGAAGCTGAAAATACTGAATCTGGACTTTGTTACAGTATCTTAAAATCGGTACAGTCAAAAAGGAGTAGGAAGGGCTAGGTGCTGGAGGAATCAACAAGTGAGCTGTGTTCTGATAAATATTATTTGATTTACAAAACCTATTAAGAGATGAAAACAATTTCAATTAAAAAAGAATATAAACAGCATTTATGAGAAGTCTGAAAACTTACTGGGATGTGTGGTAAAGTTATGGTGACCTGGTCCCCTTTGCCAACCTGTAGCTCACCCTCACAAGAGGTGTCAATGGATGCTGGTTTAAAGTCATCTGAAGGAAAAAGCGCATAGATCAGATACCAAAAAAAGAACATTTTAACAGACCAAATATGGTTACATCTAGCCAATAAAATCACCTCATTTGCTTTGCAGATGGTTGCTTCTTAAATTGTGCCACCACTCCTTTTTAGAAAGATTTATATAAACATTTTGGTTAGCCACTTTGACTATATTTCGGTTTAAACTCCTATAGAAAACAGTATACACAGCACAGAACACAACCAAACTCGCACGAAAATTCAAAACTCATTTTGAGTAATGGCCTTACATTAAATAATTGAGACATTTTAAATATCCATGAACTAGTGAACTACTTTAATTCTTCAAGGTTAGTTGAGAACATGGGGTGTCATTGGGATAAATTTGTTTGTAAGTGTAGCCAGTTGTGAAAACACTTCTGGCAGACGGGCTCTATTACTAACATACAATTATGTCCTTATGAGTCATAGAGTTGTACAGCATGAAAACAAACCCTTCGATCCAACTCGTCCACGCCAGCCAGACATCCTGATCAATCTAGTCCCATTTGCCAGCATTTGGCTAGTATCCCTCTAAATGCTTCCTATGCACATACCCATCCAGATGCCTTTTAAATGTTGTAACAGTACCAGTCTCCAAAGGGATTTGTAGTACAAGGCAGACTTGTGGTGCAACCAAAATACAATAGTTAGATGAAATGAAGGGAAAGTTGGAGTACTAGGGAAATAAGTTTTGGTGGGTTCTCCATCAATTATATTCACATTTATTTGCACTCTTCCTACTGGGAGACGGGCAATGAGCATCTACGAACAATGAGCATCTATAAACACACATAGCCCTATCATCACCCAGCTTCCTGTATACACCATTTGTCTATCAATGTCATTCAACAGCAATTGCAAACAACATTCCTAGTTTATTTAGGACTAAGAGGGTCCACAACACCTTTGAAGTTACGGTCCAACAAGTAGCCAATGCATCAGTGTAGGGAAGGAATATAGAAAATAGGGAGAAAAAACAACTCCAATGCTCAGACAAATCAAGCCTGCACAAGATTTGTTATAACTAAGGTGGAAAACACTCTCAATCAGTCTGAAATACAGTCTACGATGCTCCCTGTAAGATAGATCATGAGTAATGCTTATGGTAGGATAGAAGAATTACTGCAGTGTTCTGGCCAGATATTTAGCATACTACGAACATAGGTCAGGAGTATGCCATTCGGCCTTGAGTTTACTCTCTGTCATTGAAACAAATCATCTGTTTCAATCTCTACTTAACCAATTATATTCCCTAAATCAAGATTACAAATCTATTAACCTCGGTCTAAAATTTGTACGTTGTACTTTGAAAAGAAGACTTTCAGATTTCTGCAACTTCTTTAATGAAAAAGACTTCTAATTTCTACTCCAAAAATCCTTAGCCATAATTTTAAGATTGTAAATCCTTACTCTGAATTAGTTCCAAGAAAAGAAAACTTGGCGGTAACCACCCAATCAACACCCTAATAAACACATCAGTCAGATCAATGTTGGCCATGGCTCAGTAATCATTTGTGGAAGATTGTTCGCTCAAGCCAACAGAGCACAAATTTAGACTGACAGTTCAATGTAGTATTTTAAAAAGTGTTTTATATTTTATGTTTAATATTTACACTTCTATATAAATATAGAATATTCTTATATTTATCTGACAGCTAGGGACTTGAAACCGCATGCATCTCAGGTAGATGGCAGGAAGCAGATGGTAATAGTCAAAGGGTATTTTTCTGACTGGAAGCCCACGTCCTGTGGAGTACCACATGGTCCAGTTCTGGACCCTGTTATTTGTTGTGTATATTAATGATCTAGACATGAATTTATGAGGTATGATCAGTAAATTCACAGATGGAACAAAATTGGTGGTGTGGCAAATCGTGAGGAGCCTTAGACTACGTAGTCAGACTGGTCCGATGGTCTTGACAATGGCAAATTTATTCCTGAAAAGTATGAGGTGGTGCATTTTGGGAGAACTAACAAGGCAAGCATGTACGTGTCAAATGGTAGGACTCAAGGAAAAACAGAGGACCCAAGGGACCATGGTGTGCATGTCCATTGATTCTTGAAGGCAGCAGGACAGCGGATATGCTGGGTAAGAAGGTACATGGACTATTTGCCTTCATTAGTCAAGGCACTGAATACAAGACCATGTAGGTTATGATGAAGCTGTAAATAACAGTTGTTAGGGCACAGCTGGAATACTTTGTGCAGTTCTGGTCACCATACTACAGGAGGGATGTGACTGTACTGGAAGAGAAGAGATTCAGATTTCAGAAGAGATTCACCTGGACAGGAGCGAAACTGCTGGAAAGCGACAAGATATAGTAGAATTGTTTTGCTTACAGCAAAGAGGGCCGCGATTGAGGTGTACAAGCTTAAGTCTGATAGACATATAGGTAGGTAGACAGAAACCTTTCCCCGTACAGGAGTCAATAATCAGACAGCACAATTCTAAGATAGGGAAAAAAGAGGTTTAGAGCGGTTTTCAGGAATTATTTTATCCCCCAGAAGGTGGTGGGTATCTTGAACTCTCTGCGGGAACCCCGAAGGCATTAAAGGACTATTTAGATGAATACTTGAAAGGCTATACCGTACAAAGTATGGGCCAAGAGCTGGAAAATGGAATTAGAACATACGCTTGATGACCGGCACGGACGTGATGGGCCGAAGAACCTTTTCCATGCTGTATAAACTCTATCTCCGGTGCTATAGTGAAGAACAGGGAGAAGCCACAATATTTAATCCCACGACAGGGGAGTCACAAAAACCAAGTAGCAACTGAAAAGCAGAATACTGCGGATGCTCGATATTATTACATTGCCAACGATGAGATACTGCTGTGTGCGTTTGTTTACCGGATTTCTAGCCCTGCAAAGCGCTTTGGGACATCCCGAGGCCGTGGGAAGCGCTTTAGCAAAGCAAGTCTACGCTTGGATGGCCCATCAATCGTGCAAACGTAAAACCGGGGTATCATTTACCTCTTCAATCCTTGCGCGTTTACAGTTGTCGTGTCAGGGGTTGGGGAGGAGAGACAGAGTGAGAGGAGGCAGTGTTTTTGTTTCGGAGGACTTCGCGTAACCGGGCGGCGGAGGGCCGGGCTCGACTTTCGCGGTGAATCCCAGAGCGACATCGGGCCTTGAGGTCGTGGTAGGCAGCCAGGAGTTCTCAGAGCAGCCTGGTAAACACAGGGGCGGAGAGGGCCAGTTCCCTTTATTTTCGGGACCACAACACACTCACACACTCACTCACTCACTCACTCACTCACTCACACACTCTCTCTCTCTCTCTCTCTCTCTCTCTCTTCCCCCCCTTCTGTTTTGTATTCCCTGCCCCATGTCACAGCCAGAGGATGCGGCCCGGAGTTGGGAGCCTGGGCGCAGGCAGGCTCCCAAGGCCCGCCTCTCCGGCCTACCTTCCCGTTGCCCCCGCCTCGGCCTCACTCACAGCGGATGGTGTGGAACGAGCTCTTGGGCCGTTTCTCGAAGCTCTCGCCCAGTTTGAGCACGTGCTCTTCCTTGCCCAGCGCCGGCTGCGCGGTACCATTCATCGCCGAACGCTTCAAACATCAATTCTTTCCCTTTTTCTCCGCCCTCCGAACCAACCGGCCGGCCTTGCGGTCTCTCTCCTCTTTCGGATGTTTCGAAAGCAAAAACGCGACCGACCGACCGATCCGCGCGCGCGGTGGCCGTTAAATTCAAACAGTGAAGACGCCGAGCTCGCGAGCAGCGCCCGCGCGCACCGATAGCGACGCGGGTGGAGACTGGGGACGCGATTCTCCGCTGTCGGTCACTGGGGGACGGAGGGATGGTCTTGTCTGCTCGGTAAGAAATATTCGGGCTCGGAGATTTTTTAACCTTGACGTTTGTGTTTTGTTTTCCTGTGGGTGGGTTTGTGTCCCGCCCTGCTGCTCCGGTTGAATCAGACCCGCTCAAGTCGCGCCCAACAACAGTGTGCATTTACATAGCGCTCTTGTTTTGGTTCGAAGTACTTAAAATGGCTTAAGGCCTAGCGAGAGTGCCAGGTAAATGGTTTGATAATTGGCAACCTCTGAGATGCACGGACTCGTAACCGCCTTGTTGAGACCCAGGGAAGTTAGGGAGAGGGGCAAAAATTCGTATAACATGTTGGAAATACTCAGCAATTCTAGCAGCTTGTGTGGAAATGGGAACCAGGATAATTGTTTCAGGGCTGTGACCTTTGTTTAGAATGGTTCTGCCAGACCCTCTAGCGTTTATTTTAAATTTCAAATTTTCAGAATTTGTAATATTTTATTTTTGTTTAGTGTAGTGATAATGGAAGAGTGTAACCATTCTGATAAAGCGCACGAGGGAGAAAAATTTCTTAATTTCTAAAGAATGGTCACCGGGCCTGAAAGTTAACTCTGATTTCTTTCCACAGAAGCTGCCAGTGCTGCTGAGTTTTTCCAGCAATTTCTGTTTTTGTTCCTGATTTCCAGTGTCTGAGTTATTTCAGTTTTTTTTTGGAAGAATTTCTGAAGTGTGGTCAAGAGAACTTTCTTGATCAATGTGTGCCAACAAAGAAAGAAGCATTGTAACATCTGGTTTTGTGGAAAATAGTTGGCCAACTAGCTCAGATGTCAGTAGGGGAATGTTAAGGAGACAATGATCAAAGCAGCATGAAGTTTAAGTTATCCATAAAAAAGGACAAGGAATGATCTAGAATAAAAGTACTCAATAGGAAAAGAACCAGTTTTATTGGAGTGGAAATGGATCTGTCCAGGTAAATTGAGTTCAAAGATTAGTAGGTGAAATTTTAATGGACTGTCTGTAAAAAGAAGCTTTGGATGATGACGAGGTATAGAATAAGATGAAGCAGAAAGGGAGTGTGTATGAAAGATAATACACAAGAACCAGGTTGAATATAGAAAGTTCAGAGGAATGTGCAAAGATCATAATTGAGGCAAAGATGTGATAATCTGATAGAAAGCACAATATACAAATTTTTATAAAAAGCTTCTGTAGGAACGTAATATTAAAAGGGTGGGAAGAGGACAAATGGGCCCGATTTTATGGAGTTAAAAAGGAATCTGCATGGAGACAGGGGACTTGTTGGAAGTACTAAATTAAAACTTTGCATCTGTCTTTATCATGTAGGAAGATGCTGCTGATGTCATATGGAAGAGGAGGTAATTGATACACCAGATGAGTGATAGTTGACAAAGAGATATTAGAAAGGCTAGCTATTCTTAAAGTTGTTAAATCACCAGGACTAGAAGGGCTGCACAGGACAAAGAAGGAAATTGCAGAGTTAATGGTCATAATCTTCCAATCACCCATAGATACGTTTGTGGTGCCAGAGAACTGCAAATGTTGCAGACTTGCTCAGACAGAATGTGAGAATAACCCCAGTAACTAAAGGCCAATCTAACTTCTATGGTAGGGAGGCTTTTAGAACTAATAATCTGTGACGAAATTGCCTGTCATTTGGACAAGGGTGGATTAATTAAGGAACTGTTTAAGGCAAGTTATGTTCATCAAACTTGATTTAGTTTTTGGTGAAGAATGAAGTTGATACATGGTTGATAATGTGCCACACAACAGACTTGTCAGAAAAGTCTGCCGCCTATGCAATAAAAGAAACAATGACAGTTTCAGAGTTGAGTGATACTTCTCAAGAGTCTTGAGTTGGTGTATATATCTAATCTAAGTTTCGGCCATATAGAAGAGTTGGAATGATGACTGCTGATACACAAGGATCTTAGTATCATTAGGGATGTCATGGTCAAAGACTCTCATCCTTGGGCGCCTGAAGGCGGCACTCGCAGATTGGATGTGATGTCAAATCTCCACATTGATGTCAGTGTTAGATGACATTTAGGAGGATTTCTTAGTGGAGAGATGGATGAAAACTTGACCTGGGACAGGATGGTAAAGGATTTGAGTCTTGTTGATGCATACTGTATTTTCCACGAATGAGGTCAGTGTCATTTTCTTCTTGGATTTCAACTGGTTGAAGTTGGAAAGTTTTCTATCCATCCTGTAGACAATGTCTAGATGGCTGGGAAGCTTGTTCTAGACAAGATGAGAAATGCTAGTGATGAAGATGGAGAAAAGGGTGGAAGTGATGACACATCCCTGTCTTGACCTCAAATATTCTGTCATTACCACTGATGAGGACATCGCTGACATTTTGTCGTAGAGGATGTTGAGAATTTCACTGGATTTTGACAGGATCTTTCGTGGCACTTCCTGACTGAGTCAAAACGCTTGATCAGGTTGATGAAGGCCACATAAAGGGATTGGTTTTGTTCCTGGCAAGACCCTTGAGAAGTATCATGAACATTGTTTGAGACAGATTCTCCACATCAGCTGGGAGGACAGACATATTAACATTCAGCATCCTTGAAGTAAACTAACAGCACCAGCATCAAGACTATGATAATCTGAAACCAACTCTGCTGTGCTGGCCATGTGCTTAGGATGCACAAACCGAAGTAAGTCTTCACCCAGCTCAAGGAAGACAGTTGAATGAGAGGAGGACAAACAAAGTGTTTCAAGGACTTCTGAAGGATTTTCTCAAGAAATGCAACAAAGATGTCAACATATGAGAGACTCTTGTTCAGAAGAAAACAAATTGAAGGAAGCTCTTATATGAAGTGAAAACCTGATGGCAAGAGGAAGTATGGAAAAGGAGCCAGAGAAAAGAATGCCAAAGATCTCAAGGCCAAGGATCAGTCCCACTCTATCCTGGAAACACCTGCCGAATATAAGGTAGAAATGCAGCCGTGCAAGGACCCACCGAACGCGTGAACAGTGACACACAATTTCCTAGGTGGGCAATCATATTTGTTAGTGAGTGATTTCCAACAATGAAGATGACAAATGCAAAGGAGTGTGAAGTAATGCACTTTAGTCGGAAGGACAAAGAAAGACATTTATTTAAAAAAACACAATTCAAATGGAGTGCAGAACCAGAGAGGCTGTGGCCTTTATGTGCATAAATAATGGGTTTCGGGGATCATTGAAAAAAAAATTATTTGAGAATACAGGTCATAAGTTCTTATAAATAAAGGCATATGACACAAAAGCAAGGAGGTTATGATATTTTAAAAACACACTTTCAGGCTCAGTTAAGTATTGTGTTCAATTTGGGACACCTCACCTTTTAGAGAGCAGGTGTAGAAAACATTTACAAAAAAAAATTCCAGGGATGAGGGGCTTCAATTCTGTGGATAAGTTAAAAAGGCTGAGGTTGGTTTCTGTCGGGGGTAAAAAAAAGCACTGGAGGCGTTCAGAAGTTTGAGGGGCCTAGACAAAGTAGATGTAGGAAATTGTTCCCATTGATGGAAGTTTTGCGAGCTAGAGCATGCCATTCAACATGATAAACAAAACGAGCAAAGGGAACATGTGGAGATCCTTTTTTATGCAGTTAATGATTAAGACCTGGAATGTCTTCACTTGTGTTCTTGAGGCAGGTACAATTATGTCTTTCAGAAGGGCATTATGTTAGCATTTGAAAAGCGAATTTGCTGGGCTATGGGGAAAGGGGCAAGGTGGGTCGGGGGTACTGTGGTTACTCTTGCATGGACAACCTGCTAAATGACCTCATGTTGTAACCATTATAGGATTCTAGACCTGGACCAGTAACTGGCATTCTCTGAGATACATGGACTGATAACTGGAGCTCTTTGAAATATACACTGATCTGCAGGTGCCTCAAATGGCACTGTCTTGTAATATGCTTATAGATAACTGGTCCCCTTGATAACTTTGGCTCCCTCTTGGATATACAGCCTAAAGAATATCTTGGTCTGAGGTACATACCACATACAATGGAACACCCCGAGATACCTGCAACAAAATGTGTAGCATGTGCACTGCAAGGTTATATGTTCACAACTTTATAAAAAAAGTAAACCATACTGTATTATCTTTAAATGCAATGCTAACCTGGGGAGAAGCTTTCAATTGCTTTGTACTGTTTTGAAATTTAAATAACAATCTGAAGCTTATTTTTCTTTTGCATTAAGACCGTCTGGAATACTGCAAACATAATGGGAGATGACATGGAAATAAATCCTTTTTGTGATATCCAGACATATCAAACTGAAGGGATAAACAACTGGTCTTTAAGCAATAAGGTAGTAACTGTAACACCCTCCAGATCAGAAATGCCTTTTCAAATCAGAGGGCAAAAGGGAAGGATCCTTACCCCTGAAGAAGCAGAAAAGCTCATGAAAGATCAGACCTTAGTGTCAGATTTTAAGCAACAGAAGCTTGAAAGAGATGCACAGAAGAACTGGGATTTATTTTACAAAAGAAACAGTACAAATTTCTTCAAAGACAGGCATTGGACAACCAGGGAATTTGAAGAACTGAAAGCATGTAGAGAAGTAAGTGATATTGAATGAAGAAAACCCAGACTTGTGATTTAATGAACTACCATTGCTGTAGTAAGTCCAGTGAAAACTGCAATGAACATACTGGATTTTTTTTTT